ACTAACTTTTGCATGCATGGAGGATTCATTGTTAACATGTACAAACTGAAATCGAAATGATAAATAGGAGAGAGCGGTTCCTTTAATGCCAATGAAGTGTTCCAGTCTCTGTAATAGGATATGATGGTCAATGGTATCAAATGCAGCACTAAGATCTAATAAAACCAATTGTCTGATGCAATGAGGAGGTCATTAGTAATTTTCACCAGTGCTGTGTCTGTGCTATGATGACCCCTAAATTCTGACTGAAAATCCTCAAACTATTGCTATGTAGAAAGTCACACAGCTGTTTGGCGACTGCTTTCTCCAGGATCTTAGAGAGAGATGGAAGGTTAGATATAGGTCTATAGTTGGCTAAAACATCTGGATCAAGGTTGGGCTTTTTCAGAAGAGCGTTAATTAAAGCTACTTTAAAATACTGTGGTACATAGCCTGTTGATAAAGATAGATTGATCATATCTAGTATAGAAGTGCTGACTAAGGGTAAAACTTCTTTAAGCAGCCTAGTCGGGATGGGGTCTAAGAGGCAGGTTGATGGTTTAGATGAAGAAATTATTGTCAGGGGTGTGTGTTGGGGCAGGTTGGTGGACCCAAATGCAGACACAGGAAACAGGCAGGAACGGTTCAAAGGGTTTAATAGCAATAAACAAAGGCGAGCTCACTTACAATGTAGTGGCTGAATCCAGGGAATCCAAACAAAAGATAATCCAACTGAAAATCCAGAGACACGAGTAATCCAAAAAACTGCAGAAACAGGGAATGAGGAGCATTACTAAACTACTAAATTACTAAACATTACAATGACCGGACACAAATTGAGGAAACAAACGAGTATATATACACAGATGGGTTAACGAGCTGGGAGGAGCAACACAGGTGAAGGACATGAGGCTGACGAGACACAGGCAGGCAGAGAGATAACTGGGGGAATAGACGGAACACGTGATGGGCAGACATGGGGCAAGATGATAACCAACAGAACAACACAGACCAGGAGTAAACACTTAAGACATGAACTAATGTACAGGACTAAGAACTAAGACACGGAACTAGGAACTAAGATACGAGACATAACTAAGACTTAGAAGTAACTTAAAGATGCAGATGAATAATAATAATAAAGGCTACACAGAGACTAAAGCAGAATGATCAAAATCAGGTTAATTAATGAAACCGGCAGAGAACATAAATTGACATCTAGCAAACAGACAGAACTCAAGCATGATGGTACGGAAACTAATACATGAGACTGGAACAGAACTGAGATCAGGAAAATACCAAAACACCACTAAACACCAGCTGACAGATAATAACCAGATAAACAATAACACAGACTACATAACAGATAGAGAAAAGACTGAAATAACAAAACTGAGAACTACACAAGGCAGGCAGGCACACAGTGTGACAATTATTGAAGTTAGTTGGTAAAGATTGAGGGAAGCAAAGCAGTCTAAACATATATCTGGTTTTACAGCCGTTTCTAAGGTTCCTGAGTTTGGAGATAAGTCGGTGCCAGTTGAGGGCAGGTCTTGGTGAATTTTGTTTCTAATAGTTAGAATTTTATCATTAAAGAAGCTCATGAAATCGTAACTACTGAGAGCTATGGGAATACATGGCTCAATAGAGCTGTGACTCTCTGTCAGCCTGGCTACAGTGCTGAAAAGAAACTTGGAGTTGTTCCTCTTTTCCTCTATTAATGACGAGTAGTACGCTGTCCTGGCATTACGGAGGGCCTTCCTATAAGTTTTAAGACTATCTTGCCAAATTAAATGAGAATTTTCCAGTTTGGTTGAACGCCAATTCCTCTCAAGTTTCTAGCAGGGGGGCGGCAGTAGCTCAGTCCGTAAGGATTAGGCTGGGAACTGGAGGGTCGCCAGTTCGAATCGTGTTTGTGCATGTGTGTGTATGTCATACCTGTGTATATACTAACATAATAACAGAGTGAAAACATTGAGTTTCCCCTCAGGGGATAAAGTATATCTTCATTTGCGAGTTCCAGTATTTTACCATGGAGCTAACCATCTTTGTTTTATTATTTCCTTTTTTAGAGGGGCAACAGAGTCGAGTGTCATTCACAGCGAGCCTGCAGCACTATCAACAAGATGATCGATTTGGGAGGGACTGAAATTAGCATAGGAGTCCTCCGTTACTTTGTGACTTGATTAGGACTGTACATATCAATTATTTTTCAAGTCGATTAATGTAACAACTAATTTTGTTTATTCTAAAGAAAGAAAAGTTGCCTATTACTCGATTAACATACCAATTTATCCAAAATAAATATCAAAAACATGTCTAATCAATAAATCTATATATTATTCAATCATCCTGATGAAGCACATTACAATAATGACAATAGCAGCAAATCTTAAAATGAATCAAATTTCCACGTCACTGATGCGTTGTGATAATAACAATAACAGACATTAATTAGGCTACTTTACTTAAAACTTTAAATGTTTCTGAAATGGATTCATTTCAATATTAAGTAATGCAGTATGATAATCAAATGTATTTCTGCATCAATGAACACCTGAAAGGACTCACAGACTGTACAGACAGTCACAGATTGTCTGTAATTAGATTCAGCTGTTTTCTTGCTCATACGTGGCCGTTAAATAAACAGAAAATATGAAACAGTCGATCGTTACATGACTCGCGGTGTAACGTTACGTTACCATGACAGCAGCAGGGCAGCAACATGAAGGCAATGAAGAAATACTGTGTGTCCTCCTGCTGATAATGTGCCATGCTTGTGTGGCGACAGAAAGTAAACACGATTTGCAGTTCTGCCGTCTAGACAAAGTGCTGCGGGATACTTTCGTTTCACGTGTTCATGATGCTTCTCGTATTTGTGGACAGCAGCTGTGCTGCAGTGAAGCTGTTTCCAGTTCACAGAGCTCACGGAGCAGCACGTTGTTGAGTGTCTGTCTGAAATACTCCAAACTTTAGACGGTAGAAGGCACGGTCTTGTAGCTGGAGCTTGTCCGGGATAATCCCACACCGGATGCAGCGTATTTACTAATCGATTGCGTCGATTACACAGACGAATCGCCCCAGCCCTAGACTTGATAATGAATTTAGAGCTGATGGAATCGCATCCTTAAATTTAGCTACAGCACTATCAGACAGACATCTTGTATAGAAATATTTGCCCAATGGCGAGTAGTTCAGCAATACAAACTCAAAAGTTATCAAACAGTGGTCAGATAAAGAGGGATTCTGTGGGAACACTATTAAATGTTCAATTTCAATACCATATACCAGAACAAGGTCGAGCGTGTGGTTATAACAGTGAGTCGGTTCATTAACACTGAGAGAAGCCAATGGAATCTAACAGAGAGATAAACACAGTACTGAAGCTGTCATTCTCAACGTCCACATGAATATTAAAATCCCCTATAATAATAACTTTGTCCGTTTTAAGGACTAAAGTTGACAAAAACTAAAGTACAGAGTACAGACCAGATGCTCGGTACACTATAACAAAAAGAATTGGTTGCAGTGATTTCCAACTTGGGTATGAAAGACTAAGAACAAGGCTTTCAAATGAGTTATAATTTAGTTTAGGATTAGTGCTGATTAATAGGCTAGAGTCGAAGACAGCTGCAACTCCACCTCCTTGGCCTGTGCCTCGAGGAATGTGAGTATTAATATGACTGGGAGGGGTCGATTCATTTAGGCTAACATATTCTCCATAACCCAGCCAGGTTTCAGTAAGACAAAATAAATCAATATCATAATCTGATATTAGTTCATTTACTAGTACACCTTTAGAAGAAAGAGATCTGATGTTTAAGAGTCCACATTTAATTTTCCTATTCGTTTGCACTATTGCTCTTGTGGTTTTAATTTGAGGTTTTTATGCACACCTCCTCTTCTGTTTACCTTTGATTTAAATAATTTCGATGGTTGGGGGACAGACACCGTCACTATAGGGTTTTCACTAAGTAACTCCTGAAATGGAGGAGCAGAGAAGTGTGTTAGACTGTGACTCTGGTGTTGATTGGTCTTGCTGATTTGGAGGAGTTAATTAAAATAGGTTTTTCAGAAAGTTTAGGCGGAAATAGGCGTGGCCTATTCCACGAGATTCAGCTCGATCCCCCGAACGCGTTGGTTCGAAGGTTTTTGATATGTGCCCTCGTATACATGTGTTTCAAGGCCAAACGCAAAAATATTCGCTATAGTGCCCCCTAGAGGTAGAAGTGTAAGAATTTTGGCACCTGAGTTACGTGTAGTGAACTGGACCTACCCTGTAAGTTTTGCGTCCCTAGCACTTACCGTCTAGGCCGCAGTATGAGTTATATGCACAGAAGAATAAAAATTATAAAAACCTTAGCGAAAACAATAGGGTTCCCAGCTCCGCTGTTACTGGGAACCGCGATGCCTTGCAATCGCAGGTTCCCAGCCCACTCGGGCTTGGACCCCTAATAAAAATCAGAGCGAAAACAATAGGGTTCCCAGCTCCACTGGTACGTCCCGGCGCCAGCCGCCCCCCCTCGCCCGACTGAGGGTGGGCAAGCCAAATGTGGCACAGAGGTCGTCTGGGCATGCTGGGGGACTACAAATTAACGTTTTGTTTGAATATTCCTTATATACAACTACATACCGTTTCCTGTTTATACTACACTCTTAAAAATGATGGGTTAAAAATAACCCAACTTGGGTTGTTTTATAACCCAACCGCTGGATCAATATTGCACCAGACCAGCAGTAGTTAGTTTGACCCAGCAAGATGGGTCAGTCATATTTAACCCAACAGATTGAGTTAAATATTCCACCCAAATGCTGGGTCAAATTAATTACAATTATGGGTTGATTTAACTACATATTAGTTATATAATGTACCCAAATGCTGGGTCAAATTAATTACAATTATGGGTTGATTTAACTACATATGTGTAAAATTAACCCATATGCCAGATTAAGTCTAACACATTCAGTACAATTTAGAAAATAAATTGCAATTGACTACCCATTTAAAACTCTTAAACTTCAAACCTGAAGAACTCCAGAATTTTGATTAAACTGGTTGAACACTCGACAGGCCAACACTCAGCAGCTCTATTTTGAACAAATTAAAATTCCTAAAAGCTGCTATTAAGCTACTTGCAAGCAAGTATTCTAGTTTTAAAAACGTAACCATTTTTGACTCCCCTCCTGGAATTTCATAGATCACATTTTGCATGAATTTCCACACATGCTCACATTGTTTTGGGTATTCAACGTCAAAGACAAAAAATGCCTTAAAACAGACATCAATGGCCTGAAGCAGTGTTTCTTGCTCCACGGCCTGTCCAGATATTATTACGAATGCCTGAGATGCACTACCGTCATTCCCCAGCGTCAGGACGTGGGGGTATGGCTTGGACGCCTTGGCCTCATGGAGGTACTCGACCATGTTTATTCCAGGCTAAAAAAGGAAAATACGAGAGTGAGATATACAAGAGTGCGAGTAAGGACCAAATGTCTACCGACTACTACAGTAAAAAAATTTTTAACTGTAATAGTCTACATTTCATTGCATAACGAAATATTCCAAACCTTTATTGATCAAGTGTTAGAGCATATAGCTCAAATTACAGAAAATAACTAAAGGATTCAGACTTCAAATGACTTAAAAAGTCATAAATTGATTGATGATCTATTATTAAAATAAACATTCTCAGAAAATGCGTGCGGCTCAACTTTTGTGTAAACTTTCTGATAAATGTGTTCATTTTGGAAATCAATACTTAGTCGGTGCCTGTTTTAGAACATCAGTCCGGTGCTGTACAGAGGTAATCAGTGGCACTGGTGTTCTAGAAGCCCAGGATGCTTTGATACTAACCAACTTAGTTCAGCAAGTTCTAAGCTTGTAGAACCGCTATTTTCCAAATACTGTCTGGCTATATTTGATGCCTGTACCCAAAAGTATAATAAAACCTGAATATGCATGTGTGCGTGCAGTCTTGATATTGATAAATGAATAAAGTTTTCTCTTCAGAAACTTGTGCTTCGAGGACTCACAGCCTTATGATCGACGAAGGCCAAGCTGCATTCAAAATTGGTGTGGCGTACCACTTTCGCACCGCGGCCACGGCCAACTTTGTATGTTGTGGGGGGGAGTAATCCTGGCAGCTGCCTCAGGGCAAGTTCCCCAACGCCATCTGTAGGAAGACATAGGTGTCAATACGATGTGAAATAGCATACCTTTGATTTCATAATACCAGCAATTTCGTCGCATAAATATCCAGCATTTTCCATAGCATTCCCTGCGCATTTACAAGATCTGCTGACAATATATTACCTGGTGTTAAACCATCCAGGGGCAATGTTAGATTCCCCTCCTGTCTTGCCAGGTACAGGACCTTCTCTGCATAAATGGTCAGCCAAGTTTCAAAAAGCTTGGATGCAGCTTCCCCATGTAGGACAAGAAAGTCCTGTGCAATCTATAAAATGGAAGACACATTTTTTTATTCCAATTCAGTGTGGCACACTTATAAAACATTATAAACAATGTATCCTCAAATGAAAGATCATTTTTCCCTATACCTACCATGCCTTTGGTCATTAGGCGAGGGAACTCTTCAAGGATTTGATCAATAGTCCAACTGTTTTCTCTGATCCACTTTGCCCTGTAGACTGCCGTGTTTTCCATATAGGTCTCTACCTGGCTGATGGGCTGAGAATTGTTTCTCAACCATTCTTTAAACTGTGACGCACGTTCGTCTGATATGGTACATTCTGTAAAGAACAACAAAGTTGTCAGTCACTGAAATATGGATGTTTTGCTTCATCAAATATATATTTTAATAATTACCTGGTATGAGAGGCCTTGCAAGAGCAGCATCATCTGGCGTTTGTGGTGATGTCGTCTGTGCCATGATCTCAGCCGCTTCCTGATGTTCCGCAGCCTTTCCTCTAGGAATCCAGTGGCTGGCCGGTGGCTCCGTCCTGGGGTGTACCATATTTCCTGCCAAGAAATCAAAATCTTTAATGAATAGAGATGAGGCACGTTTGACTGACAGCATGGGCTACGGTTAGAACAGGTTTTGTCTGTACGTCTGTCTGTCCTCAGAGAAGTAGATCAATTATTGTTCCTGCTGCTTAGTGCATAACAGCACAGATATGTTTCAAGGAGGAGTGAGCTGTATTTTGTCTGTTAACTGACGGATTTAGCTTTTACGCTCAATGTATGCTGCTCCACGCTCCGTTGCCAAAAACAGTGCGTTGAGGTTGTGACTTCCAGACAAATTTAAAGCCTCAAATTCCCAATTACTTATTTACAAGGACCTGCGGGACAATAATTTTCACATGTACGAACCCTAGTGTCTATTATTTGGTGATGATTCGCCAGAAACAGGAGATCTAAATTGGAAATCTAGCAAAAACAGAAGGGGGCCTGTTGTAGAGCCCTCGGCTGACTCTAGTTAACTAAGTAAAGTTGAAATTGAGAATCGAATTGGATTGCAACCTTGAAAAAAAACAAAAAAACAACCCAAATAAATATCTCAATGACATTTTTCAAAAAACACTCACGCTGCCACTGCTTGATGAGTCTTTCAAACAGGCAAATGACTGAACCAAACCCAAAGCCAGTGCCTTTTTGGTTTCTGATGTAGGACTGTAAAACAGAAAAAGCTTTTTTAATTTAAGTAAAATGAAAGTACATGTTGTACTTGTTACTTATGTTGAAATATATTAAATACGTCAACATTCCCATTTTGAAATTGAATTAACAGGAACCCTATTCTAAATATAAAAAAATAAATTACTTCTCTCCAAACTTCTCAACGAGGTACGACACCAAGATACGGACGAGGAGACGTCTCTGACTAGCTGTGATGACATTATCTTCATCAAGGCTCTCAACAATTTCCTTGCCATCATGTAAGCCTGTAAGAATCTGCCGGACATCCTGAGAAAATTTACACAAGAGACAACATTGCAGATCTCTTACTTTATGAAGTGAAAGGTGATACGAATTCAAATCGATATCACCATTATTTCAAACCTTTGCCTTGATTTCAAATAATGAACAGTTAGCTCACATCGCATCACAATGTGTTTCACTCTTTTCAAGCACTACTATTGTACAGCAAAATATAACTGTTTAAGGTGCTAATAAAATGAATTTAGCTGATTATAAGAAAATTACTAGTTTTTATCCAGGTGGATTTGCTAATTTAAGAAGAAAAAAAAAGCATCTTGATCAATCAACATACACAAGTACATTCAATTTTGTTTCAAAATTTTAGCTTTGATTAATTGCCCAGCCTACTGTTGATTAAACAAAGTGACACCCAAGTCTTAAAGTGGAACTTACAAACTGTGGAATGATGTGTATTGTCTGTATCTGCTGATTTAGTGGTACCACAGCAGCTGCTTGATCCTCCATGGGGTGTGGAGGCGTGGCAGTTCGTGTGACATCAGAGATTGTAGGTGGGATAGCAGGGACAACAGCAGGTTCAACCTAAAAAAAAATCCAGGTCAATTTAATAAACAGTGGCAACCACCTAGAATAGCTTGCTAAGCATCAGTAATGTAAACTCCTGAATGGATAGGAAACAAGGTGACAGGTGGGGGAGGGTCAAGAGTCAAGATATAAAACTGTGCTTTTTTTACCACATCAAAAAACTGCATGCAGTATGCATGGTGTGACGTGTACTGGCTGGCATTCTCACAGAACGTATACTGTAGTGAACTGGTTGGTAAATGAGGTTAACCTCTTGCCCCTCTTGGTGTTGTGGTTAGGAAGCATGCATTGGGACCAGGGTTCGAGACCAGTGGGGTGCACTCCCCGCTATTTGTTACAATATATTTGGAAAAAGAGTGCACATGGTTTCAGACACAAAACTGCTCAAATTTATCACCCAATTGCAGTGTTTTTAGTTGTAAAAGGTGACGTTTCCTTTCTTGGACCATGCAGGTGTCTTTAAAAAGGTGACTTCTAAAACATAAATGTGGCAGTGACTAAGAATGTATATGGAGCAGAAAGACATTAAGTGATTAAACCAAAAAATACTTACAGTACAACTTATAACACCCCAGTAGTCATTTCAAGAACATCCCAGTAGTTTGGTAACATCATCCCATCCCAGAAGTAGTTCCAGTAGTTCTTCCCATCCCAGAAGTAGTTCCAGTAGTTCTTCCCATCCCATTAGTCCATTACTGATCATCCTCAGGCAATGGACACTTTACATAGCATGTATGGCTAAAAACTAAACTAATATGGCAGACAATGTCAAGCTATGCATTTTAAACATCTATAAACTAGTCAAAATACTATTTACAAGTGTCATACACACACACCTGGTGGCAGTCCGCTGATTATCTAAAAAAGTCTATAGCGCAGGGAAATGTATAAACTATCATCATCCTCTCTGTGCGACTTGACAGCATGGATGGGATGGTAATCAAGCAGCTCTCTCACATCTACAGCTGCCAAAACTTGAGTTGGAATCACACTGTACGCAAATAAATGCCTATCAAACCACTGTGTTTCCCACTTCTTTACAACAAGTGTTATTCTTGGTGTATGTGATATTTGCTCCAGTAGTAAAACTGATAGTATAACACCAAACTGAGGCTCTCCATATCGATCATAGGACAGGAATACGGTCATGCCTGCTCTATATTCAGTTCCCTTAAACTTTACCCAGGCTGGGACATACAATTCACTAAAAAGGGGAATACCTTCTAGACCACTTTGGATCTCTTTAAATCCCTCAATGTTGGCCAGAAATGTAGTGTACCCTGGACCAACTTCTGTATTGTGGCACAACACAGTTCCACACAGGAAACTGTAGCACTGCATCATCTGATGGCGAAATGCCATGGTTTTACAAATGTTTTTAAAGTTACCAGTTACATGGCTAACCTGTTTGAAAAATGCATGTCGAGCTTCAGATCTCATCGCCCAGAACTGCCTCAAAGGTCCGAGTTTTTGAATGACTCCTGGGTAATGTAGCATGAAGTGGTGTTTTGGCTGTAAATGTAGGTGAGGATAGAGCTCCAAAAAGAGAGAGTGATGCTTTTCAATGATTTTGCTTAGGTATAGTGTTGCTGCTACAGTAAGCGAAGGAGAAAAGATGAACTCCATGCACATGAGTAGGAGGAGTAGAAGTTCCCAATGCTTGTTATCCAAAGGGATAAGGTCACCTATCATTGTCGGCAATAACCTAAGCAGGCACCACATTTGAGATGCTGACTGCCGCATGGGGGCTTCAGGGTTTCTGAGATTGCTCATGACAGTAGGTTTGTTACCCTTATCACAAAATCCATAGTCAAAGCTTGTTATTCTGTAATTGAGCTTTTCTAGTGTGAGATACTTTTGCTCAATTAGTGAATTCAACACAAGTTTGACTTCATAGGGCCCCACCCCTTCCAGTACATCATGCATGATGTCAACTGCCACATTGTCTGATACATGATAAAAAGACTAGTTGTTCAAGACACTGTCTCTTTTCAAGCCTGTCTGGGAGGAGTCAGCTCTACGCAAATCTGCCTCATAACTATTGCGATCACGCAACAAAGTAGGATCTTCCAGCGTCAGAGACCTCACACCCCTTTTATCACACATGGTTTCCACTGAAGCTTTCAATGTAGCCAAGAACGCCATGCAAGCCTAAATGGTCTCCAACAACCTGGACCACCGTGAACTTGACAACACCTTGATAGTTGGGGGTATTAACAAAGATGCCAACACTCTCTAAACATTTGATCTCTTCCACGATAGGGCGCAGGATTGCATTAAGGCCATAGGTCACTACATCATCCGATTAGCTTGTGAATCCCAGTCTTAGAACCAAGCGGATTTACTACCTCACAATCATCTTGGTAAATCACAAGTGGGATTGAAACCTCATTCTGGAACAATGGATGTGTTTTACAAAATTTCCCGTCAAAAACATCCTGAATTGCATCACCATCTCTGCGCTGCCATTCCAGCATGGCCTGTAAAATCCCAGGAATTTCAAGAATCTTGGTCAAAAGGCTCTTTAACGGAATACGGTGATATGAATCAGGAACTGCAACTTTCGGACAATGCCAGTGGCAGAGGCCATTGGCTGAATATATGAAACCCCAGACAGAAGCTCCTCAATTGGCTGAATGAAGTTTCCAGATTTAACAAAATACTGCATCTGTTTATAATCTGTCTCCAAACCTTTGAAAGGCTCAGCTGCTTCTGTGAACTCCACCTCAAGCTCTCTACCTCTGGGCTTTGATCAAGACCAAACTGACGAAATAAAGACATAGTCTTTGATTGCAGTCTGCTGACAATATTGCTAATTAAACTGGAAGTATGCTGAACCACAAAGTTTATGTTTGAGTATGTCATAGAAGATTTGGATTTAAGGTGGGCTAAAAAGAGGGCCACCCGATTGGTAATACCCTCTGGTTCTAATTCATCCCAATCCTCCTCATCTCCCTGTGCTGGCTCCATTTCCGCATTCAGCATTTCAACATTCTGTACATCAACAGGTGGGGCTGGACCTTCAAAGGGGTCATCAAGAGTATTTCCTACTTTATGCTCCTTTTCCAAGTGTCTTTTAAAAGACCACATGTAAGAAAATGTCCTACCACAACCACTCTCACTACACTGGAAATGTGTTGATGCTGAGTTTACATGGTGTATAAAAAGACTCTTGATACCCCCTGAAATTAGCCTTTTGCACTTAAAGCAAGTATAACCCATCTTCCCAAAGAAACTATTAACTACTCAGAAATAATAACAGTGTGTGGAAAACTGAATAATTGAGCCTCTCATGTCATTGAGCTTACAAGTTCTCTAAATTTTTTTAGGAACTTCAGCCGAGGGCCAGCTCTTGGGATCAGCTGGTTGATGGTAGGCTCGTCTAAAAGAATAAAACTCTCCTCATCAATCCCCTCCTCTGAAAGATATAGAAAATACAGACAACTTTGTTTTTACAACAAAACTCATCTTTGAGTACAAAACAAAAATGCATGGGTAATTAAATGGAAAATATAGTAATAAACATGCATATTCCATCATTTGTTATTAGGGGTGTAACTGTACACTTATTTGTAATGAAACATTTAGTACAAGGCTTTTGGTTCTGTGTAGGGGTGGGGGAAAAAATTGATTCTTACATGCATCGCGATGAGGACGATTCTGAATCGATTCACAAACGTCAAAAATCGATTTTGAGCTCCAGCTAGCATATTGGAGATCTGAGATATTCTGGTTTTGAACTGCCCGTGGGAGGAATGTACATGTAAAAATCTGTACATTCTTGATTAAAAGTCATGTGAAATCTCTTTTATCTTTCGTCTCCTCAATTCGGGTGTGTTTCCAAAACGTCTCTGGTGAATCTCGCGGACTCGACTCGCAAGCATCGGTATGCACAGATTTGATTGGCTGAGCAGCGTCACGTGAGACGATTGAAGCACATGCGATTGGTCTGTGAGTTTCCTGGTCCTCTAAACCAGTACAGTAAATGCTAGAAAAGCTGCGCGGGTTAAAATAGAAACGCTCCGTCACGAGGTAGTAAGTCTCAATAATAAATGTGCTGTAGGTCGGCGGTCCGGAGAGGACTGGGTCCGGATCCGGACCGCGGTCCGCCTATTAGTGACCTCTGATATATAATATAAAATTTCTCTGCTATTTCTTTGATGTATCGAAAACATACCGCACCGTGACACAAGTGTACCGTATTGAACCGAACCGTGAATTTTGTGAACCGTTACACCCCTATTTTTTATTACAAAACAGTATGAAGCACTGAAAGCCTACAAAAGACATGTGCCACATTCATTTATTGAAGTCACTTTGACATTTTATTGAAGCTATATCGAAAACAAGAGGAAATAAGAATTCATGTCTGAAAAGGTAGCAAAGACTTGATATGCTGTGGATGGAAAAAAAAAACTATCCTAATATTTCTTAATTCTTACCTTTAAATCTTTCGACAAGGTCAGTCAGTTGCCAGTCTGTCAAAATGTTTATGACAAATGTGTCCATTGATCTGAAACAAACAAAAAAAGAGCTTAAGCAAAAATACAATTTCTATTGCATTACCTATTCATATGTCACCATGCAAACGCAACAATAATCCAATTAGAAGATACAAGCTAGGCCTTTTTTATTTAGCATCCCAAAATCCTTCTCTCTTTACAATTCATGACAAATTGTATACATGTAAATTGTCTATGTTCTTACTGCACAATAATATTTGTGGCTGCTCACAGTATAAAGTTAGCTTTCAGAGGACATACATATATATTTGTTAATGTCACAGGCCCCGCGCAGAAAAATAGACAGATCGACTGACAGTTCTGCAAAATAAGTGCATCCGATCTTTATATGTAATAGATCACTTAATAAACCAAACACAAATTTGAAGTAAACTCATAATGAAGACTATAACCTTAACTGGAATCAATTTGAATCGAATTAACGTAAACGCATTTCACAATCAACTCGTGTTACAGCGTTAATTACCCGAATTATCTGCGGTATGAACATATACAATTGCATTACAGATCTCGTGTGCATATTATCAAGTTACCTGCAAAATAACAGGAAAAAACAGTAAAAATCCGTGTCACGTCGTAGCAAACGCTCAGCAAATGTAATGGCGCGCAGGTGCACACACAAGTTCCTAATTTAGAGTCTTCTTCTTCTTTTAAAGTTTTTTGGCGGTTGGCACACAACACATATGGTGCATTACTGCCACCAACTGGTATGAAGTGTGGAACTGAATGACTATTTCTTTATTACAAACGGGAAAAAAAATGTTAAATCCTCTCAAACATATTTCTTATTCTAAAATAATGAAAACCAATTCCGTAACAATTATCTTTAGAATTTTTCCAGAAGTTTGTTTTGCGATTGACTCCTTTACACAAAATGTGCACATACTTTGGCGTGTCACATCAACTCTTCACTCAAGTGGCCCTTGTCGTTTGCCAGGATGCCATTTTAGAATTTGTTCTTATCTATTGTGGGTCACCACATAACTTAAATAAATGCATTTAATCAGACATATCAGATTATCTCACTGTTTATCTCAGTGCTTCCATGATAACGGCTAAATGGCTAACGTTAACTACGTAGTAAAGCCAAACCAACCAACTAGCCTCGACAATATAATGATACTGCTTTAATAGGTAACGCAACACATACAATGTTAATAAGAAATGTAGTGTACACATACCTTTTATTATTTATTTTCCTCGCTGGACGACCAGTCAGGTTCTCTGCTGTGACGAGTGCTCGGTGTGTGGACTCTGCTGATGATGTTCGAAGCACAAATAACCCACTTGCTGGGTCAAACGATATATGTTGGGTTGATGGATTTTGACTCAACGCATGAGTTAAACAAAATTACCCAATTTCCATTTAAATAACCTATAATGGGTCAAACATTTCCTAACCCAGCGGTTGGGTAGATTAAATAACCCAGCATTATTTAGAGTGTATGTTTAGAAACAGATAAAGAGTATTCTGCAGAAGCAAGTGCTTTTCAGTGTGAGCAGCAACACTTCAACGATGGAAGCCATGCAAGATGTACCAAGTTCCAGGGATGTGTTTAAAGTGGAAAGTAAAGCAGCGATAGGGCTCAACTTGAAACCAATATAAATTTGACAAAATCATTTTGGACTGGAATCTCATGTGTACCTGTTGTGTTTACATGTGTTACAGTTTTGTTCAATGAAATTAGTCACTGCATCTGCATTCTAAATAGTTCATACACACATCTGTGGCCCACTTAACACTTACCTGTGTCCTGATAGATGGAGATTCCCAGCTGTCTGAGTGGAGCCTGTATTCTACAGTACCATGTTCCATGAGTGGAAAGAGAAGGAGACCAGTAAATGACACACTGTTTGTGTTTGTTAACATTTTTTGCAGCAAAATCTATTGAAATATTTAAGGTGGGTGTAATAATTGGTATTGTTATGGTGGGTATTATTCCTTTTTATAATTTGTTTTTAAGTGCTATTTTAAGTAATAATGAAAGTTGTCACCAAAAAGTGGAAATACTCAAGATGAGTACAAATATGTACAGTGCTTGAACAAAGACTGTATAATGTGTTACTTACTACTAACACCACTGATTAACATATAAGGCAGCATTTGTTTATAATGTATATTCATGATAGCATTACCTGATTACTCAGAGATCTGGTTTGTCCTGAGAGGGGCCTGGCCTTTCGTTGTCCTCTTTTGGATCTTCACCTTCCAAGTCTTTGTATTTTTTGTGGATGTGTGTTGTATTAGGAGGAGTTCTCAATCTTCTGAGTAAATAAACGTATTACTGGCAGTAAGTATACTTAAAGCAATGTTTGGATAATTTATTGCTAATGAGTGTTCTTTACCTTTGCTCTGAGAGGTATTTAACAAAACCATATTTTAAAAAATCCGTAAAAAGGCTAGCTATCTTACTCAGAGTAGCCCTGCTTAAATGGTTGCACAAATGGTTGGCTGAGAAGATCCAGTTAGGTGAAGCCCAGTTTTAATAATGTGGATCAATGCACATGCATAGCTAACTCAGTCCTCATGAAGTCTGTTAATAGTGTGCGCCAATATGCTGGGTCATAAGGTGGTGCGTTTCATTAGGGTCTGAGCTGCTTGTATCTGATGCTGACTGTACATCTGTAGCTGTGTTTATAATGGCTGAGGCTGCCTGTATTTCACTTGGGTTTATGGGACCTGCTTAAGACATCTGGAGTGGTTCTGTGGTTTTACTGGCTGGGGATGGATTTGGATTAACTGTGCTTGAATTGGATGATGATCCAGCATTTACTGCAAAATTCAGCATTTCCCCTGTAAACTATAAATAACAATACTCGATATGATTATTACACTGCTCAAAAAAATAAAGGGAACACTAAAATAACACATCCTAGATCTGAATGAATGAAATAATCTCATTAAATACTCCTTTCTTTACATAGTTGAATGTGCTGACAACAAAATCACACAAAAATTATTAATGGAAATCAAATATATCAACCCATGGAGGTCTGGATTTGGAGTCACACTCAAAATCAAAGTGGATAACCACACTACAGGTCGATCCAAATTTGATGTAATGTCCTTAAAACAAGTCAAAATGAGGCTCAGTAGTGTGTGTGGCCTCCACGTGCCTGTATGACCTCCCTACAACGCCTGGGCATGCTCCTGATGAGGTGGCGGATGGTCTCCTGAGGGATCTCCTCCCAGACCTGGACTAAAGCATCCGGCAACTCCTGGACAGTCTGTGGTGCAACGTGGCGTTGGTTGATGGAGCGAGACATGATGTCCCAGATGTGCTCAATTGGATTCAGGTCTGGGGAACAGGGCGGGCCAGTCCATAGCATCAATGCCTTCCTCTTGCAGGAACTGCTGACACACGCCAGCCACATGAGGTCTAGCATTGTCGTGCATTAGGAGGAACCCAGGGCCAACCGCACCAGCATATGGTCTCACAAGGGGTCTGAGGATCTCGGTCTCTCAGGCTACCTCTGGCGAGCGCATGGAGGGCCCCCCAAAGAAATGTGCTCAGTGTGAACCTGCTTTCATCTGTGAAGAGCACAGGGCGCCAGTGGCGAATTTGCCAATCTTGGTGTTCTCTGGCAAATGCCAAACGTCCTGCACGGTGTTGGGCTGTAAGCACAACCCCCACCTGTGGACGTCGGGCCATCATACCACCCTCATGGAGTCTGTTTCTGACCGTTTGAGCAGACACATGCACATTTGTGGCCTGCTGGAGATCATTTTGCAGGGCTCTGGCAGTGCTCCTCCTGCTCCTCCTTGCACAAAGGCGGAGGTAGCGGTCCTGCTGCTGGGTTGTTTCCCTCCTACGGCCCCCTCCACGTCTCCTGATGTACTGGCCTGTCTCCTGGTAGCGCCTCCATGCTCTGGACACTACGCTGACAGACACAGCAAACCTTCTTGCCACAGCTCGCATTGATGTGCCATCCTGGATGAGCTGCACTACCTGAGCCACTTGTGTGGGTTGTAGACTCCGTCTCATTCTACCACTAGAGTGAAAGCACTGGCAGCATTCAAAAGTGACCAAAACATCAGCCAGGAAGCATAGGAACTGAGAAGTGGTCTGTGGTCACCACCTGCAGAACCACTCCTTTTTTGGGGGTGTCTTGCTAATTGCCTATAATTTCCACCATTTGCACAACAGCATGTGAAATTGCATGTGTTGCTTCCTAAGTGGACAGTTTGATTTCACAGGAGTGTGATTGACTTGGAGTTATATTGTGTTGTTTAAGTGTTCCCTTTATTTTTTTGAGCAGTGTATAAATCAAATAATAATATCTAAAATATATTATTGCCATCCTAAGCTTCCTTTCAGACCAGTTCACCTATAATAATCTGAAGTTACAGATCAAACCTTACAAATGTTTACTTCTCGATAACAGGTAGTGCTATTTTTGTATTTTTCTTTAATTGTTATTTTTATTTCAGTTAACTGAAATGTTTTTTCACATACAACTTTAGCCTACTAAAACAATATCATATTTTAGTTTAGTTTTAATCTATAATCACCTTGCTAACTACACCATCCTTGGTCCACTTTTATTTTGAATGTTTTACCACTTACTTTTGCTTCCAAAAAAAAGAATAGACTACATGACTTCCAATATTGGTTTATAACAAAAAAAAATTGACTAAAGTTCGAAGATTATCCTCATTCTTTATTCAGAAGGAATAACAATAAAATGAATCACCAACTCCAATCAAAAACAGCCTGTTTTTCTATTGTGACATTATCCAACAGTTATTTATATTTTTGTTTTTAAACAAATAACAGATTTTTCCTTTTTGAATTATAAGTAGTATTTATAAATTTCATATGGTAACATTAATTGTCTTGTAATTGCAGTATGGGTTGCAAGATCCAAGTGTTCCCAAACACGAATGTTATGAAGAGAGCGTCGTCACACTTGGGAACGGGTTGGAAGAAATGGGCCGTCAAGTGCGCCTGAGGTGGGCTGCGGAACAGCAGGGACAGCTCACTAAAAAACTTTGATAAACTCAAAAATGATTATGAAGCACTAGAAAAACAATTCAAAGAACTTCAAGTTCAAAGTCCTGCTTTGCTAAGGATGGTAAGTGTTTGTGTTTAATTGCAGTTTCCATGTATTTAAAGTGAGTGATGAATG